CAATTCAGTGATTCATTTCTGTTCGGCAGAACAAATTCCGTCTACATATAGTTTTCCCATTATAATCTCATAACAGCAACATTTCCATGAATTAATATACAGAAACCTAGTTCAGAATCAGTAAGCACATTTCAAAATTCTCTTAACTGAGAAATAAGCATATACTAATATTTCGCGTTCCTGGCATGTTCTCTTTTATTCTACAAAGACTTACGTTTAAAAATTGTACATTTCTCGAAAACTTGTTCACTTCGTAGTAATTCAGATCCTACGCTAATATACTAGTGATGTCCCTACTTCATTACATCTTAGGACTGTCATGTTGCTAACAAATTAAGAAGTTTCTGAGAAAAATAAAAACAGCAGAAAATGCAGTAGGTCCACCTATTCAAATGTTGGGATAATTGCATATTATACAGTAAAGAAGTGACCCACAAACTAATTCCCTTTCGCAGAGGGAGTCTTTCAAGTTCTCTAAACCCACAACGCCAGAGAATATTAACCATCACTTCAAAAAACGTAAGGAAATTTCAGAATGTCGTTTGAGTGTTACATCAACCTTCAGGTATTTATTAACATCCATTCACTGTTTTATGTGCTGTGCAGCTGTTTTAATTAAAATGGAAATACTCTTTAAAGAGGCGTAATTCTTGCAAAAAGAAAAAAAAAGAAACCACTGTTAGAGACGGTATTTTAATTTAACTGCCTATCACAGCGCCAAGAATTTAAAACAGGCATGCGAGTAAACAGCTTCCACTTTCAGATGGACCACAGTCCTTTCCCTCTTCACAGATTCTTTCGCACACAATGTTTCTGTGCTGTTTCATTTAACTAAAGTACAAAAAGTTTACAGGCTTTGGGAGAGCGTTTACCTTTTCATACCACGTAAGAAACACGTATCGTGGGGCGGCCGTGATTCTACGTGCACATAAAACAAGGAAATTTATTCTGTATTACGGAAAATTCTGAGATAAAGCCGAAAGCACATGGAAACGTTTCCTAATGCTAGTACGAGAGACTTTGGGGAATACAAGGAAATAAACAAACGTAAATCGTAACCATAATCAGTTAACACATTCTTTGTTACTGAAAGATAAAATGCAATGAACGAATACGTGCGAAATATAAAACTAGTCGTGTTGACGGGGAACATACCTAACCAAAAAACAACATATCTTCAATGCAAACTTAAAACTGGTAACTATATTTCATAAGATATTATCAAAAAAGGAGGATGAGAGTCTGCTTTGTTCTGCAAAGCAATGTCCACCTTCTAATCTGTATAATAGGCTTACATGTACCACACATCGCATATAACATACACATGCCAACAACCAGAATAATACAAATAAAATTTTTCATTTAATTATTTAGTAAATACCCGAAACTCTGCTTTATAAACGCAGATGAAACAAACATTGAAATTGCATGAACAACGGAATCTTCCAGTCTGTTTTGGAATTTCATGCTTGAGAAAAGAGTCTAATTTGGAACGATACAAAATTAACAAGATTTCTTAACAGTAGTTTAAAGTTTGCATGTTTAAGTGACCATTGTTCTACGGCCCTGATACGGAGGCCTTTCCCGTGACTACATTCGCGTAACCAAAGTTACGGCTGAAATTTCCTCAATCTGTGTTACAACTCATTCGTAAGGTTCAACCATCTCCGAAGACATACTCATTCTACACATCGTTATATGACTTTAAGATTAGGCCCAATTATGCCCAGCAGGGTCGTACGTTTACAACGAAACTCTTTTTGAAGATGGCTGTGTTCTGGATTGTGGCGCCGTGCAGTCTGGTAGAAGTCTACCGACGATTCAGAGGTCCCTGCTGACTCAACCATCAGGGCGATGAGTGACACTGAACACAGTCATCTTCAGACTCATCGCCGTGAAAACCTCAAATCCTACGCAGGAACTATTTTTCTCACACAGAATGTTCCATTTAAAACACAACCCTGACTACAATATTTGTTAGCTTTCGTGACATCAATATAACAAGACAAACAAGTCGTTTTTTAAGTGTCTGTAAGAAAGAACGTGCAGAAAAGCTGTCCCGAAATTTTGTTACCAGTGGGTGTAGTTATCCTGTTCGATACTTCCTTGTCAGGATTAACATTTTTAAATGCTTCACGAACAGCAACAAACGATTTCGATGCAAAGTAATGTTCGAGAATAAACACAAGTTCAGATCGTCAATACAACATATTCGCACCTGCATAGATTCTGCGTAACCTACGTGATCAGCGCCCTAGCAACAAGAATGACCTTGACGCTGACATCGAATATCAAGTGGGAAATTGGGAGTCTGTTACACGCAGTAGACCTTCTTCTGTTTTCACTTTTGTACCGCTGCATGTGATTGTCTTTGGGATGCATTTTAAATCGAACATCCTGTATTCTATTACGTATCTTGCTTGTGCAAGGCTTTCTTATCACTTATTGCCTTTCACAATCGAAACGTCACACATTCCGCGATGTTGTCTGTTCTTGCAGTTACTGCACGAAGGAAAACAACATTATAGTAATAATAATTATAAATTTAAATAATTCATAGGGTTAAGCGTTCACAGATGGCACAGAAACCTCCTCCTCGTCACATCATAAAAGTTAAAATGAATCAGTACTGAAAATGTGCGATACACGCAAATTATTTAAGAAACAATCTGTGTCGTTGGATTAAAAGTCCCATTTAACCCAATGCCAAAGACGTTTTGCCTGATTATAGTAGCCTATACTATATTCCATCTACTTCTATGTCGATTCTTTTCGTGTCATTTCGGTAAACGTTTTGTTGACAGTGATGACCGCTTTGTCTACTGAACCGTGGGTGTTATTAATCAAGACCTACTGCAATGATCAATCAAATGTCAATCACACCATGTCTATTGTTTCTGGAACGTTACATCCTAGTGCACTAAACTTGATAGTCACAGTAAACAATACATACATGTGACCTGCAGACAACGGAGAGAATTGTTTCTAAAAATTTTTTTTACTGTTTTGCCATCAACACTTTCTCTGTTACGAGACGTGTTAGGTCTGTGAGATATTTCATGTCATCTGCAGGGGTCATATAGTGTATAAAACTTCTATATTGAAATATAATCTTTTTTGTCCGCATTATCCTTTCTAAAAAACTAATGACAATGACAGCTACAACGTTTAAACTAGTCCGCACGATATACGAGGATTTACTCAGTAACCGAGTACACTGGTTGATATGTCTATAATTTCTTTTATAGGTAAATACTCAAGAACATTTCTTACGCCCCCCTCGTTACGAAATTAATAACCAGCCCATAATTAACAGTATCGTGCGCTGCAAATCCTCGAAATAATAAAAAAAATAGTCTCAAACTGAAAGACAACCACGCCTGAGAGATCGTCTATTGAAACCTCGAAACCTTTTTGTATGATAAACTGTGTGGAGTCTTCGTTTCAACCAGAATGTAAACAGGCAAGTTTACATAAACTAATATGAGCATAAAACACTCACATCGAAAATATTATTTATGTAGTTTATAAAATTACTAGCATCAGAAAGTTGATGGGAATTTAAAAATGTTGTTTTAAGACGCTTTGTCAACTGTAGGTTTCATGATAAACAGCGTTGATAAGAGATCAATTGTTAATCATGATCTGGAAAGGATGCTAAACGAAGATATTGCGCCTTAAAACTAACATGCATGTCTGCAAGTAGACACCGAGCCAAGAGTCGATCCCAAGACCCCCCAACTATGGTTTAGGAGACGACCCACTCACAGCGTTATCACCGAAGCTTGACATTCAGATTTCATGTTAACAATGTCGGCCTATGTGTCTTGTTAATACCTAAAACATTTATCTGTCACTCTTTTGACTACTAAGTGTGTTCAAGGAACCAAATGTAGGCGAGACAAAATTCTATTAAATTTTAATAAGGGTCTCATTACAAATTGAACAAAATTTGATTAAAAATACTGTCAAATGATTCAGGTGGTAAAGTCGCTACAGAGAGAGCGTGACCATAAAGGGTTTTTAATTTTTCACTAGAGGTAAAAAAAGACCTTAGAGATATCAACGGTGTGTCGCATCTACTCCATTTACAATTAAAAGCAAACCCACGACCTTTCAGGTTCAGAGAAAACGCTTTACAATCTAGAAATGTCTAACACTCTACGCCTATTCCTGAGGGCTTTTTGCTGTCGCCAGAACTTAAAAGCTGTAAGGGTTATAACTGATGTGGATAATGCTGAATGGTATCAGATGAAATGGCGACGTTCTCTAAAGTGACGATAAACTTCACATAAAACTACATACAGGTCTTTCCATTGAAAATGCAACACCAACTAAAACAGCATCTGTAAGCTTTAATCAAATCAATATAACAAGAAAACCTTGTTGTCTTCTTGTACTTATTTGTTAGAAAAGTTGTTTTATTTTATGATTTATTTGTTAAGAAGAACTTGCACAACGGACTACGTTAAAAATGAGGCACGTAGTTAAATCTTATACGTTACGTGTTAATGAAGAGATGGCGCGAAGACGAACCAGTAGAGTCAAACATCTTCAGATAATAATTGGAGGGGGAATGCAGTTGTATAAATAACGAAGTTCAGCCTTTCCTTCATTCATTTAATTCAACCAACAGCAGTTCTTGTTCTGAACTGCAATTAAATTGCTACAAAAGGGATAAAGCGTGTGATATGGGAATGTGATCAGATTGAAACTTGGGAGACCATTCTGAGGCCTATTTCAGGAGCTAGTCGGCATTCACTGGGACACATTCTGAAAATCTATAAAAGATGTCTCGGAAAGTGGCAGTGTTTACAGACCAAGACATGAACTGGGTTTCCCTCAAAAACAAGTACAAAGCGTTACCATTAAAGAATACTGCAAATGAACATGCTCGTATATTTTGGGGGCAGTCTCAACAGGGTAACAAGACATAACCTCAAATATTACAGCAGAAATGTATTATAAAAAATAGAAGAAAGTCATGAAATTTAACTCACATGCTTTACTCCTCAGGTCCCAAATTTTAAGCGTGCGGTCATGACTGCCAGAGACGACTTTGGATGGTTCTCCCAGGAACTTAGCAGCCATAACTTTTCCAGAATGGCCAGTGAGGGTATGCTGCACAAACAAGAAGATGGAACATGTTAGCCGAACCGTCAACTCGGTGCACTGTGCTGCTATCTGTTTTCGTTTCTACTAAGTACGATGAGCTGTGTGGCGAAACGCTCAAATGATGAACGGTAACAACTTTAAATCAAGTATTGCATATAAGAATGGAACTTAGGAGATGAAAAAGTGACTGTCTAAGAGCAGTCTAATAGAAATCAACATACGTAGTCAAACTATTCTCAGCACATCGTCTTTGGCACTTTCAATATATATTTAAAAGCGTATTTCAAAACAGAACTGACAAACACTAATGTATGCTAATTAGTTTTTCAATTCATATTAGAAATATAGGAGATTTTTAGTTTTCAAATTGTGAAGGCAAAAAAGCACAAATGAAAGAACAGTGTTAAAACTATTATTCATCCTCCAATATACAAAATTAGAAAATTCTCCATGAATCTGTAAAAATGGATTACATCATGCAAACCGTCTCCGCTATTTCTGATTATATGATTAAAATTAATATAAAAATACTGAAGTAAGTTAATATCACAACCCAAAACGTAGTCCAGTTGTTCATTCCAATTAAGATTCGTCATGCCCAAGACGTGATATTAAGTCATACATTTATAAAAATAAATATAATTTGTTTCTCACTGAGTGTATTTGATAATATAGTACAGCACTTAAAACAAAATAGTTATATTCATTTCTCACATAAAACATTTTTATTTCACTGTTTTACATGTCTTCGTTTTCTATACTCCTACTGTTATCGTAAAATAAATCTGTATTCACATATTAGGACTTTGAAATCTAAATTACTGTAGGAACAGGAACAGGATCGACCTCATAGAATAGCACAAGAATTCAATTCAACAAGAGTATAATGTGTATTAGCGTGTGTACAAGCATTGACCTTCGTGGGACATTTTTCTGTAATATTTTCGCACCTCTTTTTTCGACATCTGGAGGATTTCTTGGACGGGTTATGGGCCGTCGCACGGTCTCTAACTAGGACAATTCAAAATGGAATACGCATACAAATTAATATTCATCCCTCAAGTGAGATTAAAACCGACGAAACTTGTGACCGAGTGGCCACTCTGATCGATAATAATATTTATTTGTCATGTATTCAAACACACGCCAAACGCTGTTAATTTTCAAACATTCACAACAAAATCACGTAGTAACATACACTCATGATCCAATCCAGGAAGAGACAAAACATCGAACATTAACAAATGAAAGGTGACTAAAAGAAAATAAAACAAAAACTCTTATCACTGGTTTCCGCCCTTGCTGTGTAAGGAAAAGCAAATTCTGCAGACAGAGGCAATGAAACTAGGAAATCCTTCTTGTCCTCCTCCTCCTCTTCATCTCTGGAGATCTGATATCGCCTCTGGAAGATACAGTGCATGATTCACACAGAATACGTAGATCGTCTTACACAAAGGTGTTTTCTTCGGCGAGGATAACCGACAGAGAGTTCACAGCACGAGGAACAAGTATTGTCAGCTGCACGCCCTAGGGACAGGCTGACTGGACTGTAACAGAAGATAAGGTTAATATTGTTCTCACGGCAACTCGAGTTATCGGTCCTTCGGGTTACAATCCTCTTGGGGAGTGAAGCTGACCTCGACCTGCCCCTCTGCGACTAGCGGCGTTTTCTTGTATTGCAGAAGCCACAATATAAATTGCTATTAAACTCTTACAACATCAATCATGCAAACAACACAATGGTTTAGCTGAAACTACGCTGGGACGGGAGATTATGTATTTCGCCTCTTTTGTGCGTCTCAGGATTAATCGGGTGTGAGAGTTCTTTAACTTGAAGACGTTTAGCAATAAAGCCTGTGACGGCAGAGATAAAGGGATCGATAAATTGTGGCAGGAAGAAAAGTATACGTTAGATATCAATATTACCATAGAAGAAGAAAGGAACTATAATAAAATACCTGTGAACACTCTCCAACATTTGTCTTACAAGGCTCATTTTCAGTAACAGGACATATTCCTAAAATGTTCGTAACGATCTTTTTATATCACTGAAACATGTTCTGACTTCACAGCTACATTTTGTATGGTCTTCTTTAGTATTTACACAACCTTTCTTGAAATCTGTCATCGGCTATTCCATTAAGTTTGGCCAACTACTATTCTCTGTGGCGATCTATTACATTATGACCGACTCCACGGAGTGTGTGACGTAGTAGGCCCCAGTTCGGCCGGAGGAATAATGTAATTTCGATCCACATTCAAACACGGCAACTGTCAAGAGTTCTTGACAAACATATGACTGCCGGCGAATGCTGATTCAAGGCGAAAAGCGCTGAAGGCTGATTCGAGGGAGCTATAGTCATTGCTCATAGTTACCATAATCAATAGTTTACGCTGTTGCCATGCTGATATTTTGAATTTATAAAATAAATGCTATCAAAAATACTGAAACGTTCTCAGAGGGTTATCACGATAATAAGTGTCAGTGTGAAATATTAATTACTTTGTCCATATACAACAAGGTGTAAAACAATTGACATTGGCTGTAAGAATGATTTTTGAACTTTGTGCATCGTCTAAATTACAAATAGAGATAATTCGACGCTCCAGAAACAAAATCTTCTTCTGTCTTCAGACAGAAATGAAAGGGCAGGAACCTTAGCTGTTCGGCCGCCTTGGTTGAGATAACCTCAGACTTACGGTGGCAAAATTTGTTCATACAAAAGAACTCCTGGACAGACGGCCTTGAGAAGACACATGTTTTGTCTTATCCGAGAATTAATCATAGCGGTGTCCAAAAATGTATACAACGGCGGGTTTTTAACCAAACTACGCGTAGTAGAAAAATTGGTAAACACAAAACATGTTCCACCCGGGAAAATTATTAGTTTTTCTATTTAGAAAATTGGGCACAGTCGTACAAATGAGACTCGTCACATTAAATAACCGTATTTCTCCCACACAGTACCTCGTATAAAAATTACTGGTTACAAAACACAAAAAGGGCATCGCTTGTATTACAACATGGCAGAGTTTGTGTTATAAGCAGAGACAAACCCAGCTGGAAAAACATTCTTCGCCATAGGCCTGAGGAAAAAATTCTGGTCACCTTCCACACACCACAAACTTTCCTTTTTCATAAATCTGAATTACCAACATCGCCACTGCCAACTGTATATCCATTTAAGTATATAACATCAACACAGCGATTTGTACTGTCCCGTTGAGCTACGTTTCATTCAAAATACCCGTCAAATTTCACAACACAAAATTACACGTGTCAACCAACAATGTTAAGGTTGAAAGTGAAGTGAAATAAATCTGACACATATAAACATATTAATATATAATATGACTAAATTTCTGAAAATTATATTCAATACGTTTCTTATTATTTGCATACAAAATTTAACATAACAGCCAAATCGGAATTGTTCAACTTACAGACTTCTAAAATATAAGCCCAATAACCAAAAGTCTTGAGCAACATTATACTTATTTATTCACTCATAAAACTTATCGTGTTGCTGAGAATCTAGGTGTCATGGTTAGCATTTCCCCTACGAATTCCAGAAGTCTTGGTGAAATCTCGGACTGGAAATTCCCTACAGATAAATGCCTAGAGATTACCGCAAGTACGTTACAGTCATTTTCAGCTGATTGCTGTGGCGCGAATGTATCAGAAATGGGGTGAATCTGCAACCAATGACGATGCTTAAAATTCTACTAAGTTATATAGGATTAATAACACTTCAGATGTAACATTCAAATTGCCAATAATTTTTCCGGAATGTTGACGCAGAAACAGTTATTTAAATTGGAGATTACTTGTCTTCGAGGATACCGCGACGTTTCAAAAGTTCTTACTGCCTCCATATTAACAGTGACAGAGGGTAAAACATTTCAAGATTAACTCTGACATTTGATGAATGTCCAACAAAAAGCAAAACCCATGTTTATATATAAATAAGGAAAAAATAAACACATTGGTTATACACAAAAAATCCAGCAATATAAGCAATAAGAATTATTGTGGTTTATACGGTAAATAACGCGATTAAACTGTGAACCAAATCGGTATTTCTGGAAGAAATCCATCTATCTACTAATATAAGAGCCAATGTCCGTCACGCTTGAATGTACGAGTCCGGAGATACGGAAAAAATTGAAATTAAGTTCTGAAAGTAGTGACCTTGGAAGTAAGAAATGCAAACGCAACTATGGCCGAAGCTACGGTGGCGCCTAAGTGGGGTCTAGAGGACTCTGCGTTTTGAGGGCGTTTGATAGATTTTGTGTCAGTGAGTTTAGAGTTCCGCCGTATAGATGCTTTCCCGTTTAATTTGATTTAAAAAAAACTATTTACATATTTTGTACTCTCAGTGCGATCTGCAAAGATAATGCTGCAACAAATTTTATTATTATTCATAACAAAAAGGGTTCATTCCCGTCAACTATTACGGGTCACACTACGCTAGTGTCATAACACAGCCTAATAAAATATTCCCCATGATGTGATTCTGCGTTAAGAGTCGGGAAGAACCATGTGGTCAACGCTGTCGAGCTCGCTTGGACTCGAGATGGTATGGTCACGACATTCGGCTCCATCCCAGTTCCACACAGTACAATGAACGTGATCAGTCTTCACTGTGCAGAGATATTTATTTTTCCACGGCGAGAATCATCGTTATGGGTTCAGGACCTCGTGTGCCTTTGTTTTGTGCCGTTGGAACGCTTTAAATCGATATGGATATTAGCCCTGGAGCAAAATCCAGTGTGATTTATGAAAGAACAGAGCACAGAACAATGCGAATAAACGCTGTGAACTCTGATGAATTTATTTAATAAAGTATAAAACAGCCAGATCATCTACCGTTTTCAGACTACGCTTATCAACAAGCAGGAACTGAGGTTATCACGGCGGTCAGTACGAAGATGACTGTCTTCTATGTTTTAGCACCATGTAGCGTGGTAGATATTAATCGACATTTCAGAAGAGCCTTTGTCTC